CCAATAATTTCCGGATTTATTTTCATAATTTTCATGACTTGCAGAGGCACATGAAGTCACCAAGCTTGCTTGGAATATGGAAAAGCTTGCATTCAGTGGATGGAAATATTGCCATCACATTGATTTTGTCAGGAGAAAAGATGATCTGAACACTGATGGGTAAGTTGTGGCATTACTGTACTCTGGTTTTACATGGCTTATAAATTGTATAAAATCTTTTTTGAAAATGAAACATTTTCTTATGAACTTATGTCATTTATTTTGATAAAATACATCATGAAATATAATGGTATATGGGTAACAGAGAAATTATAGCTACAATTAGCTTCAAGCTACACATAACAATTAATGAGCTTAATACGACACTTTTACTTAAACATCACTATCAATCACCATTGAGCATTTGTAATAACTTCTGACTGTGATCCAGTGTGGATTTTGGTCAAATGATGAGGCAGAAATATATTGTTAGAAACATTTTAAAAGAATTTTATGGGAAAGATACATAATAACTTATGTGGGGCGTGAAAGTAATGTAACTAGTAGTGTAACTAATTACTGTTGCCAGAAAGTAATCAGTAAAGTAATACTATTACCTTTGAAAGGAGTAACTAGTAACTAGATTCAAAATAAATTATTGTAAATATACATATTTTTAATTTGCTTTCACCAAAAACAGCACAAGTCCCGCAATTAAACTGCAATATGCTTATTGTGTCTGGAGCATATGAACGATTACATTAGTGATATCAATTATGACAAAAGATTTTGAAATAGGAAATATAGATGCGTCTGTGTTCCCTCTTCCCACTACCAGCACTTACAAACCATACATCACTTTTCAAAACAATCCCTTTTCCTTCTTAATGGTCGTCTGTTTCCACTGAGGCAAACTGTCAAACTCTTCTCTGGAGAGTCCAAGTACGGTCTGGAAATCCTCGTCAGAGAGATGTCTCTAATATACCATGAAAAGGAGACAGAAAATGTATGATGTAAATGTATGAAAATGATTTAGATCACGATAAGAAGAACTGTGTTAACTCGAATGAGGTGACTTAGAATGTTATATACAGCAGCACACATTGCTCTCAACAAAGCAACACCACACTTTTATTCAAATGTATTCAAATATTTTAGTCAAATTTCTCATAACTCCCTTTCTCTGTCACGCTCCATTTGGTTGAGGCATGTGCACTCTTTGAAGTATAATCAGTAATTTGTTTAGTATTAGGACAGTCAGGTATTCCTGGCAAGTTGTCACAGATTCCTTACGCTCCACTTCATTGGCTTCAGTTCCTATCCAAAGAAAGACCTAGAAGAGCCGAAGGCTGTGTTTAGGACTCTAGTAATCTAATCTACTGCTCATGATATTTAGGGTCAACGTTTACATTATTATGACAGCTGCTATATTGTTATTATTCAGATGTCGGCATACCGGTGATACTATTGTAGAAACATTGCCTTTCACCATCAAACTTTACATTACAGAGGAACAGAGTATAGTTTTAGTTCAAACTGTGCTGGTCTACCTGATCCCACGTGTCCAAAAGCATGACGTCGTCCTCTCTCAGATCATCCTGTGTGAACTGGGTTACCTCAGTGGCAATAAACTGGCCGGTCTTATTGGAGCATTCAAAAAGACGCGGTTGATGATCTAGAGTAACCTGCTGTAATCTTTAAGAAGACGTGACATCAACAGCCAAGAATTAAGAACTTTTTCCCACAAAAGCTGTCACTGGGGGAGTACCTTTTCAGAAGGTACACCTTTGTACCATTAGGAGCTTTCGCACTGCGTACTTCTAGGAACTAGCCAGCAGCGTGGTTCCTAGAGAAGCAGTTTCTCCCTCAGAAGCAGCCAACAGCGACATCTTTATTCGCCACATTTACAAACGTCAACAACCGGTGAATGGAGGACGCAGTGATCGGAGCCGTTTTTGTTGTGTGTCATGGGTTTCGTGATAACGGAGATGTTATGTCAGTTAAAAGAGCATGAAAACGGACTAAATCTCCTATGACAACTTGCAATGTTATCACCAAGGCTGAGAAAAGAACACAACGCTGCAGACAACAGGTAAATGCCGTTATCGCTGTTTTCATGGAGTAAATATTTTTACATGGCTTTTTAAAAATGCCGGGTACTTAGTGTTTCGTATGTATTTCACTGTATAGAACTGTTTTAGACCCTAGTCTGAAGTAGGAGCTTATTTAGTTCCCCCAAACGGAGTTCATAGAACTAAATATGTTCCTAGACAGAAAATAGCCTATTACTTATAAATAGTTTTTTGATGTAAGAATCTTGATAACATTATAAGTAGACCTCAGAGAACAGTACAAAATAACAACAGAGGCAGTTCATGACCCCTTTAAAGATACATATTAGTCCCTAACATAAGGGTACTGTCCCATCGACAGCTTTTGAACCATTGTTTGGAATTTTGTTGCACAAATAAGGTTCAGTGTACCTTCTGTCACTTGCATATGGTCCTTTTCCACCTAAGATTTCCCAGAACTCATTTGGCTCCTGTCCCTCAGCCATGATCTCCTCTGATGAGCCTCGACCAATAAAGGAGGCCACGTCCTTTGCCATGGCCCTTTCATCACCACTGGACCCCTGAGAGGTTATATATAGAGCTTAGTGCTGCTTTCCCAATAATGTCCATTATGAGGGCAGTAGGGAGGGACATTGCATGTTGCACTTGACAACTGCTGAGTGCTTTTTTCCAATAAAATACTACCAGTGTCGTGAAAGTAGAAAGACTGCGTACTTTGCCATACCACAGGTAGATGCCGTTCTGGCTTTTCAAGAGGAAGACATCATTGGAGTTGAGCGAGGCCACCAGAGCTGGCACCTCTATAGCTTTTGAATTGGTCGGGTGAGAGCCGTAGATCTGAAACAGACGAACGGGCGGCTCTGGCTCCGGGGCGCTCTTTCTGGACGTCCCTCCCTAGGATGGAAACGAAGCAATATTTAAAGGGGTATAATATTGGAGTGTTACAAGCTGTTTGTGAATAGATAAGATCCCTAAAGTTGCAAGGACTAAAGTCTCAAACCCAAAGAGATATTCTTAATAAAAGTTAAGACTCGTCCACGCCCTCCTAAAACGCCTCGTTTAAACACGCCCCCACATGTCTACGTCACTATGTGGGAAACTTTGCATAACACCGCCCAAATGTTCACGCAAAGAAAGAAGGCGTAACTTTGATTCTCGCTGTAGTATTGTTGCCGTGTTGTGAAGACGCTGTGTGTTTCGTTGCGAAAGCGAAAATACTTTGTTTGGCCTTCCAAAAG